TTTTCGATCCCGTCATTGTGGCAAGAACCCACCCTGTAACTCGGCCTCCCTTGACTCTATTTACATTCATGACTTTTCCTCTGTCTCTGCTTTAATTTGCCAGTACTTCCCCATAAGCACCTGACCCAGGCGTAAGCAGAAATAGGCGCCAAAGTATCTTTTGCCACAGCCCATAAGTTGCCCAATCACTTATTACGTTTCTTAAATACACTCCGGACGACCCACTGTCTCCGTACCGCCAACGGCACCGTGATAATGCCGCTACAGACTGACGACCGGCAACTATCGGGCACCATAATTCATTCAACTCGAAGTCAATTTCAATGTCAGGCCGATGCCGATCTTATTTAAGTTCCACGAAGGGCGGTTTATCCTATAAAACTCCAAACTTCAATGATGTAATTGTATATATTGTACTTTTTTTCTAAATTTCCTATTATTATGTATGGCAATTCAAGACGTCAATCTAGATCAAACTTTGGATTCGAGCCATAATGACAAGGAAGACACTCAAAACAATTAAAGTCAAAGTGTGGTCGCATTGACGAGTTCATTCAGGTAAATTTTTTGTATTAAAAGGAGACTGGCAGAGCCAATGTGATGCTATATATAAACCTATTTATTTCTATTCTATACCTGCGCTCTAGTACGATGATCATTTCAGTCAGCATATAAAGAAATGCAAGGCATTCAAACTGGGCCATATATCATTATCAAATAAGGTTATCCCCATAGAATGTGGATAAATTTTGGCTTGTCCACGAAAATTCAGGTTAATTGCCAAAAATTTCCGATTAAGTGAAAAAAGTCGAACAGGAAAATGATATTCGTGATTGCAGAATAAAGATAAGCTTTAAAACCGAGTAAGATAAAAAAACTGACCCATAGTATGCAAAAATAAGGTGGTTGTTCCTAACCTCGTACGCTGTCCTGGTAAGGAAAATGTAGATTCCAGGCAAAATGTGCAATCGTAAAGCGAATTTCTGGGTTAAATCTGCGTCACATTCCGTGTTAGCAAATTCGACTATTCCTCTTCAGAAAATGCAGTGTCATGGGCAGGATTTGCCATCGGAGAAAAGTGCATAGTGCGCTCCGATGGATGTCGTGTATATCTTCTCGACCGCGAAAGAATGATCACCTTCGATTAGAACGCTCGTAGTTTTCCCTTCGTTCTTACTGATCATACGCAGTGCAAATACATCGTGGTCCGTCCGAAACAGCCTTCTTGTTGGTTTCCGTGCATCACCGACATTCCACGTTGTTGCGATGATTTACCACCACTACTGCATCTACGTTGAAGTTATGTTCATTTTGATAGCCATCCGTTAACACAAATGAATGCAGTGTCACCGTCTCGCTGACAGATTGTTCTGGTGTGTTCGAGTGTGCAATTTGTTTCCCGTTTCTACAATCAGTCGGCAAGGAATGACATCTTTTCTACGAAAGTGAGCTTACTTCCGGGAATCATATCCTGCTAGAAGTCGACGTCAGCCAAGCGATCGCATTATATCCGAAATTTCTACTGATATATACACGGACACAAGGACGTACTTTACGTAAGTTGGCTGTAGTCAAGAGCAGAAGAAGTCAGCTTCTCAAATTTGTCCCAGACAACCAGCAACAGACTCAGCACAACGAATGCTCGAATGCATTATTCGGCATGCCTTACTCCATGCGGGAAATTGCCGTTAAAATTGGAATATGCTGATAAGGAAAAAGATGGCAGTAAACAACACCACCGTGTCGCAACTTTCAAATGAAATATTCCATGATCGTGTTCAAGTGTTATTCGGTTGAGTGAACTATTGTTTTGAAGACTCAAGCCACATAAGGTGTTCTAAAATAAGACTTATTCAAGGAGCAAAGCACATATGGGCTTCAGATTCGGAGCTTACTTTGGAGAGAGCACGTCATCAGCTTCATAGTTCAGACCGCACAACAGCCAGCAGGGACCACGGAACTCCGGGAGAGATTGCTTGACGAAGGTGCAGTGATGACTTTGCGCAATGTTTTCCCGTGTGGTGCCCAAAAGTCCTTGTTGCCTGTCAAACTCGTCAAGAAAAATTGCAGACGGACCGGTGTGTCGTAGATGGTGATGGGTCTAGTCGACTTATCACAAGCTAAGATGAAGGCTCAGTAGTGTCCGCAATGTTATCGATAAGTTCCCAGGCCTGTTTGCCAAATAATTTCGTGACGTTCCCTAGAGGGCTGCTGGTTGCGTCATCAGACATTCAGGCAACAGATGCTGCTGCGACGAGGTCGCAGCATAACCGACACTCTGATCGAGCCAATATTTACAAACCGCTGTTTTTAAATGGCCACTAAATCCGCTGTTATAACTCCTCCCTTCAGCCATGATCTTCGTGGTTTTTTGATGTTCTCTCCTCATTTCGACACCAAACGGTCTGTTGTCGATTACGGCAGGATCCTCTGTTTTCGTCATCTGTCATTAGTTCGGTCGGTCAGCAAGGAAGTGTCATGGTTGTGTCTCCCCGTACACTTTGCTGACTGCCTCAACCTCTAGTATCCCCTCACCGGCTGGACCTCTAAATGTACTCTGACCGATCACGTCTTGCTTCCACTCGTCTCGCTACTTTGACGCTAACAGCCTCACCCGACTTACGAATTCTGCCTTGACGGTGTCTATTTCGAATGCCTTGTACATTACTATATGCAAGCCAGTCCTGTCTGGCCCACACATTTACTTTTTCATAAGTAAGAACTTAAATCTCTTTAAAAGCTGGTCAAATCACATTCATTTTTTTCTATTATCGAAGGAAGGAGTAGCTTTCACTGCTCGCTCACTGCTTTTAATATCAGACCGCTTATTGAATAAGAATACACTGGATACTGCACGCAGTCTATCTACCTTCTCTAAAATTCAATTGAAAATGTGTATTTATATGCTGTAAATGAACCCCCAAGGGTACCCAATAAAACAAACAATTTATTTATTTGCTCACCAACAAATGGTAGGTAGACGTTATTGCCTTAAACTGTTGTACGAAAAGATATTTCCCGGCATACGATGTGGAGTTTGGCATAGGATCTAAGCAGATATCTGATATGTAAGGGAAATTTTCACATCAACTTCCTGTGACTTAGGCGTTCGAACACGAGAACTGCAGTCAAAGACAAGGCATAGCCTTGTGTATGAAAAAGGTAGGGCATTATGTCGCATGGAAGTCTAAATTTCAACACGACCTAACGAAAAGCACACTTCGGAAGATCAGTAAATGTTTCATTTTCTGTACGCCTGATGCGTATTCAGATGATTTTAGCAGAAAGTGTACGGTGGTGGGTTTAGGTGACATGGATTAGCAAATTTAAGGTCATCCGATGTCGCAAAATCCACCCCAGCCTGTCATGCGCGGCGCCCGTTCTTATCGATTTAGACCGAGTTTGAATGGTAGACTTCAGCAATAGGACCACAATGCTAGCCAGTATCAGACATCTTGGCCTGATGTATGTCAGATTGATAGAAGATTACATGAGAGTAATCTCACAACGCATATTGCGTTGGATAATGATGGAAACGGAGAAGAGTGGGAATGAGGACCAGCAGGAAGGAGACCAGAAGGCGGAGGAGAAGGAGGAGGAGAAGCAGGAGGAGGAGGAGGTGGAGGAGGAGGAGTGGGAGAAAAACCCAAGCGGTGAAGATGAGGAGCAGTTCTGTAAGTTTCATCAGGCTAACACTGCTCATCGCTTGCTCTATGAGTCGCTACAGAAGTTATCTGCTTTTTCTTCATGTAGAAAGATCAGA